TATATAGTATATATAAAAATAATAGTATGTTAATATATTAATAAAAATAAATACTATCATGATGCATTATTACTATATCTTATAAACAACAAATTATTTTTAAATGTCACCAAATATTTTTAATTAATATTGTTAAATTATGTTCTACAGGTACGTTGTCACTTTTCTAATTAAATACTATAAAAGATTATTTATTATAGGATAATCGTATTAAATCAAATTTAGGTATAGTAGTAATTAATATGGTCTTTTTTTTTTGTAGATTATATTGAGTAAATTATCATAGAAAAAATTTAACAAACGAGTATTTAAAAACAAAATGACAATACTACTAAAGGAGATACAATTTTGAATTTGCGCGGGTATTGAACGCGGGCATTATACGAAAATTACCGAAGATGGCCGATGTTTGGCAGTCGAATAAACAAACACGTATGTCGACGTAGAGGAACCATTTCTTTTACTAACATTTAGTATTTGAATAAAAATTAAATTAAATACTATAATAATCTGACATTTTAAATAATATCAGATTATAAAATATATGCTTATGAATTTATAATATATATTTTCTATTAAATACAAATATATACTTCATCTTTTATCTTGACAATCACAAAATTTTCATTAAAAATGAATCAAAACCTATAAAATACGGGCCTGGTTTGTACAGCAAGTAAAAGAGAACGACAAAAGCAATTCTTCCATCCGAAAAAATGGCTTTACTAGTAAGGAACATCTGCAAGGTACTTTCTCAGGTAAATAATTGTTTTTCTTTTAAATAAAAAAAAGAAAAAAACATCTTTTCAATTTAAAATATAAGTCAACTTTCTTACATATAACCTCTTTTAATGAATTCGATAATATTTAAGATTTTAAATACGAAAATGAAGACAGGGGTATTACATCGACAATATACATATATATTGTTTAAATATTTTCAATATTCCTACCACACAAATATTGTTTATACATTTAATACAATTCATTAACTATAATCTATCTTTTAATATTAATAATAAATTATTTAAATTACTTAATTCAATTAATTTAACAGTCAATATAGATTTCAATTTCGCAAATAAGATTATTTTTGATACATTTGCATAACCATTCCTCTCACGTTTAATCCTCTCAAAATTAACAACAACAAATACTCTTCAATTATTATTATATATTATTATTATGATTGAATGTACATTTATTTTATTAACAGACTGCCCAAAAAGGGTCTATTAGGCCTTTACACGTAGGAGCAGTTCTTCATCAAGAAGCAGCTGTAAGTTTTATTATAATTATTCTTTTTCCTTTTTGTTCTTTCTATTGTGTTCCTAATCCATATGATTTTAATTTCAGTCAAACGAACCTGAAGGAAAAGTAAAATGTACTTTAATACCAGGAGACGGTGTAGGACCAGAACTGGTAGTAGCAGTTCAACATGTTTTCAAAGCAGCAGATGTCCCTGTTGAATTTGAACCTTATTTTTTATCTGAAGTCAATCCAACCTTGAGTGCACCACTTGAACAAGTCTCCAACAGTATTGCCAGGAACCGAGTTTGTTTAAAGGTATTTATTATATTTCCATTTTTAAATATTTTGTTCAATCATATTCTTTAAATTGTACAACAATATTATTGATTTATTCTTTTCACAGGGTATTTTAGCAACACCAGATCATTCGCATACAGGAGAATTACAAACGTTGAACATGAAATTACGTAGGAGTTTAGATTTATATTCTAATGTAGTACACGTTAAATCATTACCAGGTGTCAAGTCTCGTCATCAAAATGTCGACTGCGTTATCATCAGAGAACAAACCGAAGGAGAATACTCTGCTTTGGAACACGAATCTGTAAAAGGAGTCGTAGAGTGTTTGAAAATTGTAACAGCAACTAAAAGTCAAAGAATTGCCAAGTTTGCGTTTGATTATGCAGTGAAGAATAATCGTAAGAAGGTCACTTGTGTTCACAAAGCTAACATAATGAAATTGGGTGATGGTCTATTCTTGAAATCGTGTCATGAAATTGCTAAATTATATCCTAGGTGAGAATTGAATATTTGTTAGTTATATTGAATTTTGTAACAGCATTTAAATGGATTATATTTTGTTCATTATTAGAGTTACATTTGAGACTATGATCGTGGATAATTGCACCATGCAAATGGTATCCAATCCTCATCAATTTGACGTCATGGTGATGCCTAATTTGTATGGTAATATTGTTGATAATTTAGCTTCTGGATTAGTTGGTGGTGCTGGAGTAGTTCCTGGTGCTACATACAGTGCAGAGTGTGTAGTTTTTGAACCGGTAAGATTATATTTATTATCATCATTTATTTTTCAATATTTATTTATTATTATTTAATACATATTTTTATAATTTATAGGGTGCAAGACACACGTATTCGGAAGCTGTAGGTAAGAATGTTGCTAATCCAACAGCCATGCTTTTATGTGCTGTCAAGTTGCTTCATCACGTTAATTTGAAACGTTATTCAGAACAAATCAAAGATGCATTAAATAGAGTTTTAAACGATGGAAAAGTTCTTACTAAGGATTTAGGTGGCCAAAGTTCGACATCCGAATTTACTAATGCGATAATAAATAGTCTTCGTTAATAATATTTAAAGTCAAACGATCTGAGCTTAAACTTAAGAGAAATTATGTAATATAGAACACGTCTCATGAGAATCGTAACATCTCTAGGTGTTAGTAGTATTATCCAGTTATAGAGTTTATTTTACATATTATAATACATTTATTTATTAAAAAATGTGAAAAGAAATATTTTGAAATTGGTTAAACCAAAGCGACACAGTTTCCTTTAGCACATTAAAGGAGATGTAGCTTTTACTGTGTCTTAAAGACGCACTTAACTGTATTAATACTTATACATTACTATTGAAGGTAATTATAGGTCAAATAGAAAAATTATCTAGTTGTGTATTATAACGTTATATGCAACTTGTACAATAAACTATACATTGCCTCATACTGATTTTCTATTAATAGTATTTATTTGAAAAAAAATAAAAAAATCAGTAATTATAAGTTAAATGTTCCTTATTTCTGATTTTATAATAATTTATTACAAATCATTATATATTACATAATAAAATCCATATTATGTCATAAATGAACTTTATTTAAAGATTACATATGGTATTTAAATACTTCAAGGTTACTTTAATTCACAATTTTAAATTTAGATGGCGCCTGCCTGAAGCAAATGAAAACTTTCTTCTATCATCAACCAGATGGCAGTTCGATCTCTATATTCGTTGGCAGAACTTAACCAAAGAAGAATAAAATAATCCCCCTCTTCCATTTTTGATAGTTCGTGAAGCTGACAGTTCATCCTAAAAGCGGGGATCGAAGGATCGCCCGCTGAGGAAGGTTTTTGAAAATACTTTGAGATAGTGTAGGACTCGGGATGGGCGACTCCTTGGACGGCTCCGGGGAACCGTCCCCGGAGTCTCAAAACATTGCGATCGTTGATTATCATTCGTTCGCAAATTATCTTTGTAAGGCGGTTAAGATTCTTTCTCCTGACGAAGACGTGGTGCCATCAGCTTTTAACTTGGCACTCGAAGATAAGAATAATCAAGAAAGCATAAGAAAGTTTATTGGGGACTCACAGGTCTGGGCACTTTTCATTCAAAGAGCTTCGAGTAAAGGTAAACTCCGAAAAAAAAAGAAAAATATAGTAATTCTCAACTTACATTTCATTTTATATATATGTATATATATATATATATGCATGATGTATGCATGTATGTATGATGTGGGTGTATATGTGGGTCTGATGTATGAGCAGTATAAGCATATGTGTGCGTATGTGCAATACTACACATACATATGTGTGTTCATTCTTGAGGATACCTTTTGTCCTTTTACATGCGTATCATCCTCCTCCATTGTGTTGCACATTTAAACGCAACGGTACTTATTCTTCATATTAGTCTTAAAAGAAAAGAAAAGCATTCATTAAAAATCAATGCGTTACTTCAGACGACATCCGAGATTCGCCAAGCGTTTCTCATATATGTCTTTCTAAATTATGAGTCATACACCGGTGAGAATCGATACACGCGCATATATCGACATTCTACCTATCCTTTTCATCCTTCTCTCTCTCTCCTCTCTCTCTCTCTCTCCTCCCTCTCTCTCCCTTTCTATCTTTTTATCCTTTTCTATTGTCTTCTCTCATTCTTTTTTCTTTTTTACCGGTTTTTATTAGAAACATTACTATTATAAATCAATTTGATTTAGTATATTAATAATCATAATTAATAATATGTCAATTGAGAAGAATTGCTAAGCTTGTATCCTTTAAATTTTTTGTCTATTTTTTTATTTTGATCGATACGTCATTGAATGAAGTATACCGGCTAGAGTCAGCCATCTTTATTTTTTTTTTTTATTGAGTTATTTAAAATCCTTGATTTAAAAAAAAAAAACTTTATTCTATTCGCGTTGTTTCGTTTAGAAGAAAAAAAAAAATAATAATAATATAAAACATAATTGTATGTATAAGGAATGTGTGTTTGGAATATTTTGTAAGTATAAAATAAAAATCTGAAATGACTGTATTTAGTATTTTTATTACAGAGGAAGATGGAGGAGAAGGAGATGAAGAGAAAGAAAATACAACTTATTATATGTCAAACGAGATACATTTCACTAATCCTAAAATGGCCTCCGTAGTTTTAACTAAACGTGGTACAGTCGTAGAGGCTGACAAATCAATTCATTCTCAATTACGGTTGGTCACATTTTCCGATGGACCACCATATGAAACTTTGCATGCTATGAGCAAAACAATGGCACCGTACTTCAAGAGTTATGTCAAAGAAACTGGTAGAGCGGACAGAGACGGCGACAAAATGGTACCTTCTGTTGAAAAGAAAATAGCTCAACTTGAAATGGGTTTATTACATTTGCAACAAAACATTGATATACCAGAAATCACATTACAAGTTCATCCATTAGTGGCAGCTGTTATCAAACAATGCGCTGAAGAAAATAGGAGACCTAAGGTTGCTGATTTTGGGGACAAGGTCGAAGATTCTACTTTTTTAAATCAATTACAGAATGGTGTTAATAGGTGGATTAAAGAAATTCAAAAAGTAAGATTCATTAAATCTTCTTTTGATAACAGATATAACGCAGTATTGTTAATTCTAATCATTTTGTATTATTCAGGTAACCAAGTTAAATCGTGATCCAGAATCTGGTACAGCATTGCAAGAAATTTCATTTTGGTTGAACTTGGAAAGAGCTCTGCATCGAATTCAAGAGAAACGAGAAAGCGTTGAGATCTCTTTAACTCTTCGTATTCTGAAACATGGCAAACGTTTTCATGCAACTGTGAGCTTTGACACAGATACAGGATTGAAACAAGCATTGGCGACAGTGAACGACTATAATCCTTTGATGAAAGATTTTCCTATCAATGATTTATTATCTGCAACAGAGTTGGAAAGAATAAGGGCAGCTGTACAACAAATTTTCATGCATTTGAGAAAGATCAGAAGTACTAAGTATCCAATACAAAGAGTGTTAAGATTGGTGGAAGCAATTTCTAGAGATTTGAGTCAACAACTTCTCAAGGTGTTAGGCACACGAAGACTCATGCATATTCCATTCGATGAATTTGAAAAAGTAATGAGTCAATGCTTCGAAGTGTTCATATCTTGGGACGATGAATACGACAAATTAACCGGATTATTGAGAGACGTGATAAAGAAAAAACGAGATGAACAAATGAAAATGGTGTGGCGTATTTTGCCGGCACATAAAAAGTTGCAAACACGAATGGAACACATGAGACGTTTTCGTAGACAACATGAACAACTCAGAACAGTTATTGTACGTGTACTTAGACCTACCGTTTGTCAAATGAACAATAATGCTACTATTGAGAATGCTGACAATGACAATGTCAAAGTAGAATTTGCATTGGATGCTGCGGATGCTAACGCAATCAGCGAAGTTAATTTGGCATACGAAAATGTTAAAGAAGTTGATTGTCTCGACATTACCAAAGAAGGTGGAGAATCTTGGGAAGCTGCTGTACACAGATACGAAGAACGAATAGAACGTGTGGAAGCACGAATCACTGCACACCTTAGAGATCAATTGGGTACTGCAAAAAATGCTAATGAAATGTTTAGAATCTTTTCTAGATTTAATGCTTTATTTGTGAGATCACATATACGTGGTGCTATCAGAGAATACCAAACCCAATTGATTCAAAGAGTTAAAGATGATATTGAAGCACTTCATGAAAAGTTTAAGGTATATATATATTGTTTTAAACAAGATTCTGACATTAATTTCTAAACAATCTGAAATTAAAATATTAATATATGTTTATAATACATTTGATTTATTTAGGTTCAATATGCACAAAGTAAATGTTGCAGAATGAGTATGGTTAGAGATTTACCACCTGTTGCTGGATCTATAATATGGGTCAAACAAATAGATTATCAACTTACTATGTATTTGAAACGCGTTGAAGATGTTCTAGGTAAGTTTAATAAACGTTCTTACTATTCCTTGATTTTTAATTCAATATTATTAAGGATTAATATTATTATTATTATTATTATTTTATTTATTAGGCAAAGGTTGGGAGAATCATATAGAAGGTCAGAAATTAAAGGCAGATGGTGATAGTTTTCGTTTGAAGTTATCAACGCAAGAAATATTTGATGATTGGTCGCGTAAAGTTCAACAAAGAAACTTGGGTGTTACTGGACAAATATTTGCGATAGAAAGCATACGTTCAAGAACTAGTCGTGGAAATGTATTGAAATTAAAAGTGAATTTTCTTCCGGAAATAATAACGCTTTCCAAGGAAGTCAGAAATTTAAGGAATCTTGGTTTCCGTGTACCTTTGGCCATCGTAAATAAAGCCTATCAAGCAAACCAACTGTATCCCTTTGCTATCAGCTTAATCGAGAGCATCAGAACTTACGAAAGAACACTTGAAAAGGTAAGGATACATTGTTTCTTTTTTATTTATTTATTTTTTTTTTTTTGTAAATTTATTCTACTATCGTTAAATAAACTTTCCTTATACCTATGTTTATTTATCTCTTAGAAATGTTTTCATATTTTTCTTGTTATTTCTGTGTTCGATATATATCGATATAAGTGTTGTTATTATTAGTGATTTAACAATATAGGAAAAAAAAGAATCAGTGTTTAAAAAAAGAACAAAATACAAATAAAAAAAAAAACTCTAACTCTATAAGAAATGAACAATATTATTAATAATAATAGAAAATGCTAGGGAATAGTGTGTGTGCCAGGTTGAAGAATTTTTTCTATTAGATTTATTACAATTTCTAATCCCTTGGATCTCCAACATTTTTAGCTTACCAATCGGAGTCCCCACTGTCCCGCATTAAAGGTAGCCCATTATATATGATGCTTCCAGGAAACTACTCTATGCATCTTGCCTATATCTGCAAATATATTTCTGTCTGCCTGCTTAGCTATATTTTTGTAGATAATATTTTTTATTCTACCCGTACTTTAATGTACTACTTATATTATGCAAGAGACGAGAACCCATTTTATTTGTATTTTTTATTTTATTTTATTTTATTTTATTTTATTTTTTAAATAGTCACTACGCGTTAACGTTTCAAGGAAGAATTATTTTCATTAAAAGTAGGATGCTTATAGGAATTTGCAGGAACGTGAACGATTTTTAAAAACCATCGGTGTTTACTTGATAATGGGCATGTATTTTTTATTGCTTTCAATATATAATCTGATTTAAAAAGAGAAAACAAAAAAAAACACACAAAGAGAATAATCAAGTAAACGACTGTGAAGAAGTATTGTGTTGAGAATTAATCGAAAATTTTACCGATTTCTTTTTTTTTTCCAATATTTTTTTTTGCTAGCTTTTTTGTAGTTAATGTTTATTAAATTGATTTCAAAAGTAACAAAAACTCGTATTTCGCTCTCTCTCTCT